TTGCTTTAAGTCTTTGCCTTCATTGCGGCTCGTCTCTGGTCAGGTAAAGGCCAGAGAACTAGCGTTACAATAGTTGTACCGAGCGTCCAAGTCCTTACTCGAGGACTCTCGCTAGCAGCGAGGAGGCCAAACGACTCAACATAAGAGCCCCCAGAAAGCATATGACAACCCTCCCGTGGCTCCAGTCGTCTTGGGCCCAGTACGCTCAAGGGGGTTGTGGTAGAGGAGGCGGTCTGACATGGATCGCAGCTCACCGCACTCCAGCTAATTATACAAGACAGCCTCACATGCAAGCACAATCAAGCTTGCTTCTCTGCATGCATTTGCTCTGTAGACACTTTTGTAGCATTTATATTTGTTTACAAGCAGCCTACAACGGGCAAGTAGATGATTCTGCTGGGACTTCGGGCATTGCTACAAGAGTCCTCGACGTTTGCGACAATAATCCTACATCTTAGCTAAGCGCTATCTGTAGCTGCAGTATTGCCAAAAGCAGCGGATCCCCCCTCCAGCGTCCTGGCGTCCTGGGCACAGCGGCTCTAGAGGCCTAGGCCGCTGCGGAGAGGAGGCCGCTAATGCAGTACCCCCGCATTCAACCATATTTAATCCCCCCTTTCTGCATGCATTAACATTGTAGGCAAATTTTAAGGGTTTGCTTGTCCGACAGCAGCCGGACTGCACGCAAGCAGAAGTATAGTGACCAACTGTAGACAGAGCACGCTACATGTGTCTCTCTTCTCCGCCCCAATGCATGCGACGTCGCGTGCTTTGTCACCCAGCAGGGAGTTTATGGACAGATGATAAGACGGTTTCTGACTCAGTAGGTGCTGTAGAGAAGCGGGTGCACCCCAATATCTGCGTGGTTCACGCTCTCCTCATGCCTACCAAGTTCAAGATTCTTAAAGAATCATCCGTAGGCCTTGCTGTAGGCCTCCCTCTTGCATTCGCCCCCTAGGACCATTTCGACATAGTTTTTTACGGGCCTCTTGCGAGCGGGCTGAAGGACGCCGTTCTGCTGCAGGCAGTCTCGAGATATCTCGAGGGGGAAATCCTCAAAATCAGCAAAGCCTATGAAAAAGTTCAGCTACTCGGAAATGATGTTTTAGCGGCACGCGTGATGCACACAGCGCGTACAGCTTGGTCTGGTTGCGTGTCTTGCTAGTCGTAAGAAGATCACGCTGAACTCGAGCAGCCCCTAAAAAGCGTAGTGCTTCGAGTCCAAGTGTTCTTCCCTAGCATTTGACAAGGGCTTCTTGACTACGCATATTCCCCTTGCGTCCTTTCCTCTGGCTTATGCGCCCGAAGAGGCTTTTGCTTGTTCAGCTGCTCCCACTTGCGCGAGGCTTCCTTTCTAATATTCGTTCCCTCTGGCTCGTCCTTCTCCTCCACTGTCCCCACTTTTCGTCATCTCGTGCTTGGCGATCATCCGCACAGCCAGCTCAGTCCGGAAGTATATGAAGTCGGGGTGCTTAGTGTGGTGTGTTTGGGTCTGGATAATCGCTCAATTTTCTTTCGTATAATTTACCCTGTAGATGCCCACGAGCCTCCTCGACTTATTCGACGACGCTCGTGAGCTTCAACAGAGTCAAAATACTTAACATAAGAGTTTCCTAGAAGCAGCTAGCCTATTTTCCACTCCCCAGGTGGCCTGTGACTTGCAACGCGCCTCGCCTCGAGTATTACTGCAAGATATCTCCACACACGTGGAGGACCAACCCTCCATTTCAGCTTGTACTAACACTATCAAACGCTATTGAAGACGAATTCTGCCCTTAGTAGGCAGTCTGCATGCAAGTAGAAGTACATTGACCAGCTTCATAGAGGTCATGCTAAACTTGCCCCACCCCCCCCCCCCCCCC